GTCAATTAATATTTCACAGAGGAGGCAAGAATATACAATGAGGTAAAAACTTAAATGTGAGATTTGGTTCCATAAAAAATCCTAGAAGAAAACATAGGCAGTAAAGCAAGACATTTAGTAATTTTTTCCTAATATATCTTCTCAAACAAAAGAAATAAAAAATAAATGGGACTACAGCAAACCAGACATTTTTTTGCACAGAAAAAGAAACCATCAATAAAATGAAGACCACCCTTTGAATGGGAGAACATAGTCACCAATGATATATCTCATAAGGGGTTAATATCCAAAGTTTATAAAGGACTTCTACAACTCAACATGAAAAACAAACAAATAGCCTAATCAAAAACTGGGCAGAGGACCCGAGCTTCGCTCAAGTTAAATATCTTGTTTTTGTGCATATTTTAAAGACCAAGAGGAACATCATAACTTTTCTTCTCTTCCAGCTGCAGATCAAAAGCAGAGAACAGAAACTGTTGGGGTAGATTGTAATTTCTTCCCCCCTCCCCCCGGAGAAAGGACCCTCCGTGGTTGCCGAGACACCCTGCAGAGTCTCTCAGACCAAGTAACACCCGGGTCACCACCACCTTGACCTCAAGGTTTGCAGAAGTTAACAAGTTCCTGAAAGACTGGGTGGTCCCCAGCATAGGAGAAAAATAACTGGAAAACCTTTAAATTGGTGAGTATGTTTGATGAGGCAGAAGTGTAGAGATACATCTCTCTCTTACTACTAAAAATTCCTAGTAAAGCCTAATCAAAACGAAAGCCTAATTATTAAATTAAAATTAAATTTTAAATGAAAAGTGTGAATCATAAAGTTACACGTCAATTAAGCTTAAGACTGTTCATGTAAATGTTCACATCTATTTTACACCAACATTTCGTGAGCAAGGACTGCTTTCCCAGACTTTCGTAACGGGTAGTTTAGGCCTCCAGCTCTGGCTTTGCATTCCTAGTTGAGGGTTTTACAGAGAACCTTCTACACCGAGTTGTTCTTTTTCCAGACGAAGCTGAACTCCAGACCCCCCAACCGTTCAGGAAGTGGCTAGTGCTGTGTGTGCACGGGAGGGAAGGAGACTGATTCACTCCAAGGACTTGTAAGAAATTACTGATGAAATGTAAACTTTGATTCTTAAATATTTTTGACATAAAGTCTCAGATAAACAGATCTTAAAAAAACATAATCTCTCCACTGAAGTCTATTTTTAATCATTACAAGTTTCAACAAGCAGGGTATTTTTAAACTAGGAAGCTGGAAAAATTTATTTTTAAACTGTCCTCTGTGAGTTTACTTTCCTCATAGCTGCTTCTCTTGGGTTCTGTGGGTTTGTGGGGGTTTTTTTAAAGAGGTTCATATGGAAGAATTCGGGGAGAGAGAATGGCACGGTGGCCCGGATGACTGCACGCTTAAGTTCACACACGTGCAGTTGGTTAACCCCTCGATGTGCAGACCGATGGGTGAGGGAGGAAAAGTACAACATCACCCCAAGGCTGCCTGGGAGGTAACAGCTTATTTCCATGGCAACGGTTCATGGTCCCAGCATTTTACAGGGAGCAGTAAGAGGAAGCAATAGGTTCAGACACAATTTTCCCAATTGATAATAGCATCTACTTGTCATCAGCAAATTGCCACGACCTAGAGAGATTTAGGGTGGTTTACGCTGCAGTGCCCCACAAAAAGTGACTGCTAACAGAGGAAGATTCTAGAAAACAGTTTTGGAGCAGAGAACTGCTTCCGTCTGACAGCCTGAAAGCATTTCAATCTACATTTTAAGTACTGGTGGTGCATTAATATTATGTTAAAAATGCCAAAATAGTTCAGAGTTAAAATGTTGCCGGTAAGCCTGGACTATAAAGCAGCGTCACTAATATCGAGGCTCACGAATGCTTTTCAAAGGGCTTTCTACACATGCGATTAGTGGTCTTTGAAAAATCACTAGTGTTTTCTGTGTTTCGTTTGAGCTGCTGTTCCTCAACAACACCACGCCAGTCAGAGGAGACTGTTGGGAAAGCTAAGCCACGCGCTTGCTGAGGTGAAGTTCACAGATATGACACCTGTCAAGTTCCACGTTGTGTTTCCGAGTCTCAGATTTTGCAACGAACAGAAAAGACCTGTCTCGGTGTAGTTTATTTTCCGTTGTGGGGGGGAGAGGCCGCAGTGCCAGATAAAGCAACACATAACGGTACCTGAGTGCACGATAGCGCTAATAAAAAATAGTGTGACTAGAGCACAGTAGGGTTTGGGCCCCAATCCAGGAGAAATCAAGAGCCGAGGGGGCACTGTGAACACAGCACAGTGAGCAATGGCAGTACGGAGGGGAGGCCTCAGTTCAGAGGCCGGACGGACCCAGGCAACACTGTGAAGATCCATTCAACGGAAGTCGGTCATTGGACACGAGGCATAATGGAGAGAATACGCTCGTGTTTGTGATACTGGTATTTACTGAGGGTAGATTGCATTTAGGCAGCAATATGGACTTAATTTAGACACTGGCCTTGCACTTGACCTTGTAGATATTGTTGGTGTCCAGGAACAGGGGTGGGAAATGTCTGTCATCTTGCAGGCCAGCCTGAGCTTATTGGTGACGGTCCCTCCGGCCACGCATGGAAGAGGAAGCTGAGACTAACTCAGAATTCAGGGGAAGGAGGGACCCTGTCCAAGGTCTCTCACCGTCATGGCTTGACTGTCCGTGTGGGGTGGCTCTGCATTGCCTTAGGTGCTGTTTGGGCTGAACCGTGTTCTCTCAAGATTCGTAGGGTGAAGCCCTCACCCCTGGTATCTCAAATGTGATTGTGCTTGTGGGTAAGGGCTTTTGAAGAGGTAATAAAGTTAACTTGGGAATAGAGGGCAGACCATGTGAAGGAGGAGGAAGAGGACAGTTGTCTACAGGCTGAGGACACTGGTCTAAGGAAAACAAAACAAAACCAATCCTGTTGACGCTTTGCTGTCAGAGTTCTAGCCTCCAGCATCGAGGGAAGTCAAAGTTATGTTTTTGCACAATTCATGGTGCGTTGGCAGCCACAGCCAATGAATAAACAGATCAAATCTCTTGAAAAGAACAACTATACCTTGATATAAAACAAAAAAACTATTATATAAATCTTAAAAGGGAAAAACAATTTATGGGCAGATTGTGGAAGAGAGAGGAAAGTTGGGAAGAAAGACCGGGAGAGTAAGCTTACCCATCTACCTACCTCCCCAATCCATCCATCCATCTCTCCTGTATTATAATATGCAGTGGTACAGACTCTGAAGACTCTACGTAACTGGTCTGCAGGAACAGGTGACCATTTAGGGCCGCCAGAGCTGGCGGAAGTGGAGAGAGAATCCCAAAGGGGTGGGGCCAAAGGCCAGGGCTCCCGCGTTGTGTGTAGAATCCGAAACCAGGCGACTGTAGGGCAGGTGGCCCTCCCGAGTGGGGCCTGGGGGGGGACTGAACTGAGATCTTAAGTAAACTGGCCTCAGCTTTAACAAAGGAAGAAGCTTGAGATGATCATCTAGGGTCTCTACATCACCATTTTTACAATATGCAGGTTATAATGCAAAATCTCTTCATACAGAAAGAACCAGAGAAATGGGAGCCATTCTCAGAAGAGAATGTGGTCAGTGAGGGCTGAGCCCCGGATGATTCTGGTGGTAAACGCGGTGGACAAGGACTCACAACCCTGCTGAAGAAGACGGGGGGACAGGTGAGGATGATAAATAAAAACATTAGGTGTCTCAGCACAGAAACAGAAACTACAGGGAAAACAAATGGAAAATCTAGAACTGAAAGTAAAGTATCTAAATTTAAAATATTACTATGAAAAAGAACAGGATGTATTCAATGAGTGTTGATTGCAAAAAAATTACTGGATGAACTTCACAGGATAATGGAAATAGCAGAGGAAAGTATGAGTCAACTTGAAGATAGATCAATAAAAATTATTCTATCTGGAGAAAGAAGTAATATGACTGAAATAAATTAATAGGACCTCAAATTCTGTGCAACAAGATGTGTAACTGGAATCTCAGGAAAATGAGAGAAAAAGAATGAGTCAGAAAAAATATTTGAAAAAATAATAGCCTAAATTTTTCCCAAACCGTTGAAGAAAATAAATTGATAGATTCAAGAAGCTCAGAAAACTCCAAAAAGGATAAAAATGAGGAAAACCAAGTGTTAAGACACATAATAGTCAAATTTCTGAAAACCTAAGAATGAAGAAAAAATCTTAAAAGCAGTCTGATAAAAATGATATATTAAATAGAGGGAAATGATGATTAAAATTATTGCTGCCTTTTCATCAGAAATTATAAAATCCAGAAGAGAGTGAGATAATATCTTAAAAGGCTGAAAAAGAAAAGAAAAGAAAAGAACAGTCAACCCAGAATTCTATACCTAGCAAAAACATTCTTTAAGAATAAAGGTGAACCAGAGACATTTTCAGATAAAAGAAAACTAAGAAATGTGTTGCCAAAAGACTCTAGTCAAGAGGAAATGGTGCCAGAGGAAAACCCAAATGATCCAGAAGGAACAAAAAAACATCAGTAAAAGCAAATACTCAGATGCACCCACAATTTGAGGGACATCTTTTATATGTGTAAATACGTGTATAATCAAATGCTACATCAAGTTCATTAATGCATAGGAACATATATAATCGAATGTTAATAATGAATAGTAAGTCCTTTGAGGAAACCTAAGCTCAGCGATCTGTGGGAATCTCTATAAAGGAGATTTTATAAAGGACAGAACTTACAAAGGACAGAACCAGAGTGCTCAGTCTGAAAATTCTAAAATTCATTCGTTTTTTTTTTCATTGTGCCAAAGTAAACGTCTCCATTTTAACAGATACCAAAGCTATCACCGAGAATGAAACTACTTACCACTTTTCGGAGCATTTCATAGCTATCAATCTGACAAATAAACAGACATCGAACAATAAACGCCATCCACGTCCAGCTACCCAGCAAACGCTCCCGCCCGACTCCAGAGTGGGTGAAGCCTGGCGACACTCACCTCTTTCTGGCGGTACTTAATGGCCAGTTTGAGTCTGGCCAGGTCATTTCCACTCTGCTCTTCTATGAGGCTATTGTCATCTCGGTAATTGAGGATGATCTCTAGCTCCTTGGAGCTCCTCGTCTGATCCAGGAGGTCTTTAGCAAATTGTTTGCACTGCCGAGACAGCTCTTCGTACTCAGACTTGAACTCGTTCTCCACCTTGCTCAGCTCCTGGAGCTCCCAGCTCAGCTGGAAGGCGGTGAGGAAGGGGTCCTCGCTGGACAGCGCGATGAGGGAGGGGCTGGCCAGCGCCTTGTAGATGTTGAGCCTGGAGCGCGAGTGGCGGAGGCTGTCCACGTCGGAACTGGACACACACTCCACACAGTTGCAGCGGACCTCGTGGGGTCTGGGCACCGAGACTCCTTTCTGAACCAACAGTTTTATTATCTCGTAATTATTTGTGTGGGCTGCCAGAATGATCGGCGTGATGTCCGGAGTGAATTCGGAGAACTGCTTATCGAGGAGTATGGGGGGCACCTAGGAAAGAGGAACGCACAGGTGGTGAGCACCTCTCCCTTCGTCCGCACCTGGGCGTCTCAGACAGCGTGCTCTGCCGATGCTCAGCGGGGCCCATAAATCTTTTGCCACTTTTATGCGGGAGATATATGGCTCTTTGTCCCAGAAAGACAAGAGGAAATCACAAGAAAAAAAAAAAACCTTTCCAATACACTGACTCGTTATTCTTTCTTTACTCTGAATTACATTTTATGAAATCTTCGAATAAGTGGCTACGGAAACTCTCTTTTTGATTATCACCTTCCTTGCTCCCAACTTATTTTCTGGCTGACAATCTTGGAATTTCTTTCCCAGAGTCCTTGACTCCCTAAATAGTGAAGAAATGTATTTGGGAAATAGTTATTGACTCATTTTAAAACCAAGTTTTCCTCTGTAATCCAAGTACCTTAATTCTCAGTGTGTTTGTTTTTATGTTTTATCTTCTGCACCGCTAACAGCCTACTAACGGTCAAATTCGGCAGCAGAGAGGGAGGGTGCCAGCTTCACACCCGCTGTTTTCTTCTGTCCCTCTGCGGCACATTTTCCGGGTGACAAGAGGTGCTAATGTCATTGCTTTATCAGAACTAGACAAATGCTCCCTCGTGAGTAGGTCACTAGTGTGTTTATGAATAACTTCCTTTGGGTTATGCTCTAGGAATGGGAATGATAAAAGCAATGAACAGGCACTACCGGGTAAGCAGGTGCTAGGCGCCCTCACTGTTCATTGTCCCCGAGTTACCGGCGTGCACCCCGGCAAGCAGGTGGACGGGCGGCTGCTCCCTGAGCCAGGCCCACCTGGCGGCAGCTGGGCTTGTGCATCCCACCCTACCCCACGCTGCTCTGCAGTTGGGGTTTAATAGTTCCTCCTGCTGATCAAAAGTCACAGTGGCATCTGTGAAAACCAGAGCCACATGAGAGAGGTCAGCACACACGGCAGAAAAAATAATGGCATGTCCCGCAAAAATAGGCTGCTTGCGAAATGTGATGGAAATGACAACAGGATCTGCAGGGAAAAACGGCCAGGAGGAGAAAGCGGTGCTGACGGCAAGTTCAAGGGCCCTGCTTTCAAGTGGAGGACAGGCTTGCTGTGGGGATAAGGAAACCCGCGTGTGCGTAACGCAGCCCAGGTGTCCGATACCGGGCTCTAGATGAGGATGAAGAGAAGGAAAGGTCTATTTGACACACATGCAATCCGTTGACAAAAAGGACAGTAGCCACACGATTCCTAAAATGTGCTTGTCAGGGAAACCACACTGCCTTCGGAGAGAGTGGGGTGGACACCTACTTCGTGATTTCTTCAGTTATCTGTGACGACCCGGACGAAAGATTGATTTTAGTCCTACGTATGAGTCACACCGGAACCCAACACACAAGGATCTGGCAAAAGTCATCTCATCCCATTGACACTGTCAATAATACCAGCAGGCTCTGGTCCTGATGACGGTGACACAGACAACAGCTACAGGGACGTGGCCCTTAGCCGCTGCCGGGCCCGTGGCAGGGGCTTGAAGCGCCCCAGTTCCCCCTCCGGCTCAGCTCAGTCAATCCTCAGAATCGTTTCTGGCAGTGGGTGTTATTATTACCCCCCTTTTTACAAGTGGGGAGAGTGCGGTGTCTGAAATAGCCCCAGCTGGTGTGGCTCAAGTAGATTGAGTCTGACCTTGAACCAAAGTGTTGCGGTTGGATTCCCAGCACAGGCCTGGGTTTCCGGCCAGGTCCCCAGTAGGGGGCGCATGAGAGGCAACCACACATTGATGTTTCTCTCCCTTTCTCCCTTCTTCCTCTCTCTCTAAAAATAAATAAATAAAATCTTTTTAAAAAATCAAATTCTGAATTAATAGATTGTGTCTTGTGTGGACATAGTTCAGCATGAAGAGTAAGGAGACACAGAGTAAACCCTGCCCAAACCATCTGTATTTGTGTGAAAATGGCAAAGCCCATTCACTTTCCTGCTTTTCCATTTTCCCATTGCGTAACGTAGACATTTATTCAAGATACTTCTCACTGTGGAATAAGAACTGGAGAACCATCTACCACAGGCTCCTCAAGGCTAATTCTCCCAGGATTTCGAAGATTAAATGTAAAAGCGTGTTGGACTCTTTAAATGATGACATCACAGGAAGGCTCTGTGACGACCTCAGATGGCTGGGAGACGGAGCCGAGACCTGTCTGACTCGGTTCTGCCGATTCACCTGTCTCTTCTCACACCGACACTGTCCCCATTTTAGCGCTTGTTCCATCTGACGGGAACTAGAATTTCCCGGCAGGGCCGGTTTGGCGAGTGTAGGTGTCAAGTTTGGACCTGTCCTTCCCGTTCCTGAACATTTAACTGCCTGTGCTCTTCACCCTGCTCTGCGGTGGGCACGTCACGAGGAACAGCTGTGCACTGATTCGCATCTGCACACACCACTGGAAACACCTTTGCCGATGCCCCCGGAGACATCAAACGAACGGCAGCTTTAAGCCACCAGCTGCTCGGGTGAGTTTCCGCACGAACGTAAGCACAGGGTTACCATCCCAGCCCCAGGCTGTGTGGTTCATGGACATGGCTTTTATTTTTAAAGCTAGCTCTCTTCATATCTGTCACATCGAAGGAAAATCTACTCAATGGCATCTAAGCAACACCTTTTTTTTTGTTGGAACGCAGCTAACAGGCCAGGTTTTTAGTTAATTTTGTAAGAATTAAATATTAATTCTGATAGACGATTCTGCTTTCAGTCTGACTCGCTGGTGTTTATCACCGTCTCCTTTTTAAAGCCCAGCCCTTGAACTTGCCGACTGCGTCCTGTGGCGGACGCTGCGTGGGCTCCACTCTCGGCAGACACGCCACCCACGCGCAGCTTCAGAACACTCCTCACTCCCCACCCCTCCCCAAACTTCAATGGTCTCATCTGTAACTGGGAGAGACTGACAGCCTTTGCCTCACAGGGTTCTCTTACGGAGTAAAAGTAACGATGAACGCAAGGGCCGTGCACCTATTTGCTAAAACATAATCTGCCCGATTATGACCGTTGTCTTCCTCACAGTGGTCGTCACTCTCTCTCTCCCCACCCCCCAGCCCCTGCTCCTGTTCACACTCACCTCGAACACTGCTCTGTCCCAGGGATCAAACCCAAGCCCAGTGTCCCTCTTGTTCTACATAAAGACTAGTTCACACTAGTTTTTCTCTTCAGGTTAATTAGTGTCTATGTGCGCTCATTTTTATTCTTTTTATTCCACGCATCCAATAACACTTCAGAGCACAGACTTCGTGGCAGTCACTCCTCGGGGCTGGGGAATCTAACAACGAGCAAAACAGACACAGTCCCCGCCTCTGTCCCCCTCAGTGGTCACGTCCATCCGTCCTCCACCCAACATCGCCCGGTGTGGCCGAAGTACCGGTTCCCCAACACAGGCCCCTGGTCTGGGAGAAAGAACGTCAGGCCTCTCGGGGGGGTTTACAGACCGAATATCCGCCTGACTTGCCAGCTCAGAAAGTCTTGTCCACGTGCAAAGCCGCAGCTCTGGGAAGAGACCTGGTACTCACATCGTTGAAGTTAATGACCGTGTTATTTATGTCATCCATGTGGAATTCAGTTATTTCATATTTATTTACCCCTTGAGAGATTTTAAGTCTTATCATCGTGGTGCTTGTGTGATATTTTAATTAAAAATTATACTGTAATTTACTTAATCGCCTCTATTTGAATATAAGAAAGAAGGAATGATTAAATATGAATGCCTTTTCCCTTTGGTTTCGTTTTTGCTCAACATTGCTAAATTACTTTTCCAAAAGGATTCAATTCCAACAAAAACAAAGAGCGCTGGTTCCCTGTACTGATGGAATACAATATAACACCGTGTCATTTGTTGATTTATCGTCATTCACTGTTAAAAAGAATTGTTTTTATCAAATTTTTCATGTTTTATAAATTCTTTCTATATCCTTTTGACTTTATGATTTTATTTAGAACACACAAAGGAATACATATTATTAAATCATGACAGAGAGAATCTTGAAATAAATTTTTCCAAGGTTAAAAATACAAGTTTAATCTTCATCTTCTTCTGTCTTACAGTTTTCTTCATTAGGTGTGATTAGAATGAGCTGCATGTCAATGAATGTAGGTTTTCATGGAGGAATAAAAGAGAATTTAATTATGTCAAGTCCTATGATTTCAGGTTCCAGTCAAGGCTCCATCAAGTTCAACATCTTAGTTTACGTTAAATTTAAAGAACGTTACCGAGTGTGGCGGCTGCGGTTTTCAGGTGGCCCGTGACTCTGGCAACGGTAGGAGATCGAGTCTAGGGTCTGTGCCCCGCACCAGATGGAGCCTCGGTGGCGGGAACATGGGGACAAGGGACATGAATCCCCACCTCTGAATCCACTTTGCTTGAAGGACACTCAGAATGCGGGCCACGCAAGTACAGGAACAGCCCTGATGGCTCTAATTGGGCAACGGGCTTTTACGCACTGGTGCTCACACTGAACCTCCCGCTGAAGCCCCTCGTTACCGTGGGCGTCTCCCTCCCAGAGCTCTCTCGGCCACAGCCCAGCTGACACAGGTGCGATGACCAACAGCTTCGTGGGGGCCCTTTGTCGCAGTGAGAGAAGCAGCAGATTCACACTGACGGTGTGTCCTCAGGACCAACAGGTCCCCAATGTCCCCGAAGCGAGGTGAGGCCGAGTGAAGGGACGGTGACAAGAGGACATAAATGAAGGGCTGCAAGCGGGGGCGGGGGGGAGTCTGGCCCGCCACCCGTCCCAATGGCCACCCGTCCCAATGGCCTGGCACTGGGCCTGCGATTGGCTCGGTCACCTGTGATGGAGCAGAGGTCCCGCCGAGGACACAGGTGACCCTGGCTCATCCGCCAGCTACCAGCCTGGCCTCCTCCCGCACATCGGTCCCCAGCCTCACTGTCAGCAGTGACAGCACCGCCGGTCTGCTCACCGGTCAAATGTCAGATGACCTTGACCCCAGGGAAGCGCTGTGACAGAGCTG